AATTGAATTGAATTGAATGCCTGTTGCCTCTGCCTGTTTCCTCCTGCAGCTCTGTGTGATTCTGGAGCCCATGCAGGAGCTGATGTCCAGACACAAGACATACAGCCTCAGCCCCAGAGACTGCCTCAAAACCTGCCTCTTCCAGAAATGGCAGAGGATGGTGGCACCACCAGGTAAGTGAGCAACTGTCACAAATATAGACACACACAACCACATAAGCGCACCATAACCCTGTGCATAACTCACTCTCTTTATCTGTTCTCTGCAGCTGAGCCGTCGAGACAGGCCCCCAACAAGCGGCGGAAGCGTAAGATGTCAGGTGGCAGCACCATCAGTGGAGGAGGAGGAACTAATAATAACAACAACAACAAAAAGAAGAGCCCTGGAAGTGGCTTCCCTCTGTCCAGCCAAGTTCCAGTGAGTATATCAGGGCCATCTAGTGTCAGTTCACTGCTACTACACCTTCAACAGACAGCAGGCTCAAAGATATATTGCTAACGGTTTAGAGTTGCGCTTGGACTTAAAAACAATTAGCAGACTACAGTTTCTGAGTGAGTATACAATGCATTTTTCCCCAATTTGGACCTTTCAAGTTAGTGTGAGGATTCATATTTAAAAACAAAAAAAGATCTGATGTACTTGTTTTTCCTGAAACGGGCAAAGATATGTGACAAGGCCATCATCTGTCTTTTTTGTAGCCTACAGCTCACTAGGCTACATTCATTTTCTATCAGTTAGTTTCTTCATTTCATGAACACTTCTAACCTACGACTGCATTTTTTGGAAAGAAGGTTAAAGAACAGAAAGTTACTTTGTTTAAAGCCCTGACTGCTGCATTAAATGACTAAAGAAAGTTCACACCACAATAACAAACAAAACAGGACACACTGAAAATAATGTTAAAGCCAAAAATTTAAGTTGATCACTAAAATTGTGCAGTTTTAATTGCAATTGTGTGACCAGTTTTTAAAAGTCAGTAATTGAAGATTACTTAACTGTAGTCAAGGCAGGACTAAAGATTTAAGGATAAATACATTTGTATCTTGAACAGTTGGTTGATCAGTTTTCTTGCAAAAACTACATTGAAAAAGACATAGGTGCCTTTTAAACAAAAAAAATGTGACAGATTTATTTAAGATGCCAAATAAGGGAAGGGTTGAAGAAATGTTCACCAGCATTGAATGCATTGCTTTGTTTAAAAAAAACAACAACTCATAAATCTGGGCTATGGAGGCATTCTGGTGTAATGGTTGCTGCTGTTCTGTGACTCTGCAGGACGTGATGGTGGTGGGAGAGCCCACACTGATGGGAGGGGAGTTCGGCGACGAGGATGAGCGTTTGATCACACGGCTGGAGAACACGCAGTTCGACGCAGCTAACGGCATAGACGACGAAGACAGCTTCAACAACTCTCCGGCGCTGGGCTCCAACTCGCCCTGGAACAACAAGGCTCCCTCCAGCCAGGAGAGCAAGAGCGATAACCCCACCTCACAGGCATCACAGTAGAGCCCAGAGCCCCGCAACCTCAACACAAACCCCTCTCTGTCGCTCCTCAGCCCCCACCCCACCCCAGTAGCCATGACTGCAACAGTCCATCATCTGCTCTCCAAACCAAACACCACTGTAGTGCTCAGATTCACACACAGGTAGCCTGAGGGAGCTCGGTCTGTCCTTCTGGGACTGTTTCACTGAGCCAGAGGAAGGTTTTTGTTTTTTTTTTCTTTTATTACTGCTGTGACTTCCCAACATTTAGGCACTGTGTCCCACTACTGTCTCCCTCTTTTCTCATTTCATACACAAAACGTCCCATCTGCGCTTGCTAATTTTCTGTTTAGCCATCAGCTGGATAGATGTGGCTGAGCAGGAGTGGAGATTCAACCCAAGTGGGAGAACTGTGCACACTAAACTATCCACACTGAAGTTCACACGAAGAAACGGGTGGGGTGTAGGGAACAGTGGCAGCGGGGCTTCAAGATGGTGGTGAGTTGCTTAGGGACGACTCATCCACCCGTCCTCTAAATGTGGCTCTTGATTCTGGTCCCCTCAGCCAAAAACACAAGTCGCCCGTGATGTTTGTTAATAGAGTATATGTGTGTGCGTGCGAGTGTGTGAGGAGAGAAAAGAGGCAGCGTGAGCTCAATTGTGACTTTGCAGAAGCAGACGGACCAGAATTTAGAATCAGTCCGCAAAAAAAAAAACAAAAAAAACATTGAAATTAACATACTAGTAGGAGAGCTGAAATGTGGCACTAGGGACACATCACACACACACAAATAAACATAATGATTGAAGGATTTTGAGTCCCCTAGTGCCCGAGCCATCTCTGAGTAGACTGACTGCAGTCTTTCAAACAGAGAGCATTTACAACACACACATGCACATACACACAGTTTCACATTTTAAGAGTTTTTATACAGTATATATTTCCCTAGAATGTTTTTTAATTTGTATTAAACGCCTTCATTTCAATTGTTACTTTTTTATTTTCTACCAATACTGAAAAGCTACAGACCAAGGAGCAACACAGGACTTTTATCCCTCCCCCCTCTAAAATATATTGTTTTTATCTTTTATGTTTATAAAAGAGAAATAATTTAGTGTGGATGTTTTTATTTTGTCTTTCTGTTCCTTTTTTGGAGATTTGAATTTTTGTGTATTTGTGCTTGTATATTTAAGGTAGTAGCAAAGTTCTGTCTGACTGTAATAAAATGTATTCTTACTTAGATTTACCTAAAGCCATCCCGATCTAATGTAAAGAAACAAAAATAGGAAAAAGGAGAAAAAACACTCATGAACCTGTCCCCTCTACCTTGCCATCTGCTCTCTTTCCTCCTTCCTCTTTTTTAAAACTTGTGTAAATTAAATTACAAATACCCCCGGGGGTACAATGGCACCATGGAGAGATGATTTTACTGTTTTAGTTTATGGTTTTTAATTTATTTTGGAGGTTTCACTCGTGTATTTCATCCATACAGAAGGTGAATTTAACATTCATCACAAGTTTGTGTGTTTCAGCTTCACATTTAGTTACCCAGTAACTTTTTCATGTGTCATCACTGGCTAAAAACAGATCTTTTTTTTTTTTTTTTTTTTAAGACAAATAGGTTTCTTTCCAAATTGTCATTATTTTGTATGGTCTCATTGATAACTGTCAGTCATACACACACCTTCTTAAACCAGCTTAACATTAAGTTCAGTTTGTGTATTTGGTAGCAGTGCTGACTCTGTAAAGTCTAATAAAAACAGCTGAGTCTCTGTTATTGTTTTGTACATTTCCATTTTGTTTGTTTCTGTTGATTCCAGCAGCAGTTATGATTGAGTTTGAATGGTGACTTGTACCTTCTCCAAACCCTGTAGAAAAATCATTGTTTGATATATATTTTTTGATTTGGTTAGTTTCTGCCCTTGATAATTAATGTATGGTACCAATAAAATGATACATTTTCACTTTAAAGGACTCTGTGTAGTTGGTCATTTTGTGAATATTACAGCTCACTTGAAGAATGACGTTTCTTGGTTTTGGTTACTTCGAACATTTGAACTGTGAAATGTAATTTTCTGACACATTACTGCTGGCAGCAACGGGAGATTTCATTACTGGAGTAAGCTGGAGAATGAGGCACTGTTTGGGTTGGGTGTGGAGGGAAGGAATAGATCTCTCTGGAGATCTAAAAATGTAACTGTTTTCAACTCCCTCACGTAGAGAAAGTGTCAGTACCCTTCACCTTAAAACCCCCCTCTGGTGAACAACAGGTTTTTGAGTTTAATGTGTCCATATGGTGTTTTTTTTACTTACTGTGAAATTATCTTGAGCAAAATGAACAGTCAAGGGCAAGACCTGCAGTGTACTGATGTCAAAAACACTGATTCAGACTTCTAGGATTTCACATGTAACAGATCCAAGGAACCAGATCATCTTGCAGGGCGGGACTGTGTGTCATTGTTTTTCTTCACAAATGGTTTCCAGTCCAAAATGTGCGGCTGAATTTCTCCAATATTACAACTTGCCACTGTGTAGAGTGGAGTAGTTTTAGAATGTTGTAGCAAAATCGCAGGTGAGCTGGTGTGCTCAAGTTGCAGCAAGTGGTGGAGAGCAGGGCAGGGACTTCATAGATCTACACATTCTGGAAAAGGCAACAGTGTAGAGTTACATCCAAGCCATTTTAATGTAGGAAGGGTTTTTTTTCATGAAAAAGAATCTTCTATATATACACAGAGATGAATATTAAGGGGTTTAATCTATGTCCAAACAAAGACTTTAAATAGTATTTGTGCATGCACGTATCTTCTTTTCACTTTTTAGAAGTAATTACGCACATATAATTATTTAAAAAGATGCCCTGTTTAATGTTACACAGACAGATTGAAAAAGTAAAATTCTGTAAGCTGCTGGCAGGAGTCAGTGTCCAAAACCACTGTGTCCTGAATGGATCTGAATGTGCAGAATCAGTGGAGCTCTTCTTCATAAACTTGTGAATATTTACATACAAACAATGTACAGATTCACTCACAGGAACTGATCTCCTCTCACTGCTGAATGATTAACAGCACACCACCCTTCATCTTCTTTTCCCTTTGAAACGACCTCCTCATCCTTCTGCAGTGCGGCTGCTGTAACCTGTCAGTGTGACGCTGAACTGTCAGACAGGCCTCCAGCTGTGCTGCTGGTGTCCAGGTGCTCCTCAAATCTTGTCTGAAACCTGTTCAGATCCTGTCCAACTGTGTGACTACTTGCGTTCACCTGTCAACCCAGGTTTACATCAGCCCTTGAACTCAGCCAGAATGAAGCTGACAGTGAGGACAGAGGACCAGCAGGCCTCTGAACCCAAACCACAAACATTCTCTTTGTGTTCTGCTAGTCTTCTTTTTCTTTTTTTTATCAGATTATGATAAACTTTCTGATGTAATGGCATAAAAGTATCACATTTGTTCAGCCTACTACCTCTATTACACAATCTTAATCATCTGAAATTGTCCAGATATGTTTAGTAGATAGGAGGGAGGAACTTGAAATCCTGAATTCAAGGGGAAGAAAAATTAAGCCAATTATATTTAGTTAGTATGATCTGAATTTGGTTTTAAACCAACTAATGCAGAAATGTGAGTTTACATTGCACACATTATCAATTTGATATAATTACCAACACTATTATGTCACAGCAACCCATCAAAAATAATTTCTGTGTCTAAATCAGTAAATGAAAATTTTACTTTAATTGAATTAAGTGATAGGAATTGGTTCCTTTAATCACTTTTTGGAGAACCAGTTTGATCCACGGCCCCTCTACATGCTCAAGTGTCCTTGGGCAAGACACTGAACACTGAAAGCTGATGGGAGGCAAGCATTCTGCAGGGTTGCATGTCCATCCATCCATCCACCATCTATTCACTGCTTAATCCTCACTAGGGTTGCGGGGGGCCTGGACCCTATCCCAGCTGACTTAGGGCGAAGGCAGGGTTCACCCTGGACAGGTCACCAGTCTATCACAGGGCCACACTTAGATACAGACAACCAAGCACACTCACATTCACACTTACGGACAATTTATAATCACCAATTAACCTCAACATGCTTTTGGACTGTGTGGGAGGAAGCCGGAGAACCCAAGCTGCACGGGGAGAACATGCAAACTCCACGCAGAAAGATCCCAGTGCCCTCACCGTGACGCAAACCAGCGACCTTCTTTCTGCGAGGCAACAGTGCTACCAACTACATGTGTGAATTAGAAACATTGTAAAACACTTTGTGTAGTGCTAAGGCACAAAAGCATGGTAGGGGTGCAGAACAGTTAGCATTTACAGTCAGTGATTTTTTTTTTCTGCAGCAACCAGAAGTTGCAAGAGCAAACTGACATGATGACAAAGTATTAATTAATAGTGTTTGTGAGCCTTCTCCATCTGTCTATACTAACTACCTTTCGTTTCTCAAACTTACAGCAGTCAGAGTATTTTAGATATGCTTGTGCACCAATTCTATTTAGAGGAGTTGGGTGAGGATCAGACGCTGTGACTCTGAGGTGCCTCCCTTGTCTTCCACACCAGCCTCCTTCACACAAACATCCCACCTGCCAACTCACTTTCTTATCTGGTATTTATTCCACTCACAGTTTCACCTGCAGAGCTATAAGGTCTCTCAGCTAAGCTTCCACCAGCTGAGACCTCAAGGGTCTGTGAGGGTTGAAGTGGATCTCAGCTTGAGAAAAACATGTGAGACCTAGAAACAGAAAGAACTAAGGGATATGTTGTCCCTCGGCTCCATGTTCAACAGACAGCATTGCACTGAATCGTTGTTAACATCTGTCTGTCCAGTGGCTGCAGATGTAAATCAGACACATAGCTGACTCTGGACTAAAGCTTATGTCATGCATGATCCCTGCTAAAAAGAAACTAATAGTAAACTAAACTGAGCAGAGCTAAACCAGCATAAAATCCAGTGGAAAGGTGTCTTTCAAAGGTCACTCTGTCTGCTGATGTATTACATTGTAGAAAGACAGAACTATCTGGCTGTTAAAACGCTGACTATAGCATCATATGTTTTCTTTTTTCTTTTTCAGCAAAATATAACATTAGTTTAAAGCTGTCATAAGCAGGCACACAAAAGTTTAAAAAAGATGGTTATTGTGTAACTGTGGGTTCTTTCTGTGTGTCAGGTAACATTCGCTCCCTCTCCTCAACTGCTATTCTTCTCTACTTTCTCATTATGTTCCGATTTCCTTCCTCTCTCCTGCCTCATCTCCCTCTTTGTCTAATGACACGGTAAAAGCAGAGCTTGTCTCATTTATTCTGGAAATCAAGGTGCTCCGTGCAGTCTTTACCAGATATATTGCTCCCTTGATGGCAAAAGTTAATTTACCAAGAAACTCATGAGGTCAAAACATGGAAACTTCAACTGTTGCTTTGAAGTAGAGCATTTTCTAAGTGCAGAGCAACGACTCTGACAAAAAAAATTAAAATAAAATGGCTCAGCGCTTTTTCTAATTCACAAATGTAGACAAAATTAATCCTAAATCTATAGCAGTTAAATGGCAGTTCATACATTTTTTTTTTTGTATGTCTTGTCTAAATTCCTAAATGTGGTTGCTCAGGATGCAGTTGCATAAATATGGCATAAAACGGCTCCTGAAAAAGCCATTAAAGCACTGTAATTAGTGAGAAAAAAAGAAAATCAGAGATGAAATTAAGCTCTGACATTTCAATGTACTGACACAGGAATAAGGTAATTTATTGGCACATACATAAGGAGGTAAATATCTCAGCCATCTCCTACCTCCAATATGGCCAAGTGCTTCAAATCCGTTACGAGTGGCCAAAGATCACAGAGATAAAAGACCAGGATCCTTCAGTTCATCCTCATCCTCCATGTATGCAGCTCCTCCATAAATCTGGGCACGTTTTGTAAACCCACTTCTACCCTGCTGATTTTTGGAGCTAATCAGCCAGTCTTTAGTCACCAGTGTCCATGGGAGTACAACTTTCTGATGGTTAGAGTGACACACAGTGGGAATACACATTCTACAATAAAGCAAGAAATCTACTCGATGTCTCCTCTGAGTGTCTATCTGCTTCACATTAAGTTACAAAATCCTATTTTCAGCACAGTATCATGTGTTACTATGGATTTTTTTTGTGGCACTGGTAACTGTTAAATTTTAAATGACTAACATATGCATGGCCTTGCATGGCAGTCTTTCTTCCTTTTTTATTGTCTTAGAATTGTTTAAATTAGTATCACAGACATATAGGCACCAGTTTATGACTTGTCCTGAGTCCATGTTTGCTCTTCATTCAACAACTACTTACCCTGCAGTCTGATCCTGATTTTAAAACTTATTATATTTTATATAATAATAATGTTTCGGGCAGCAAGGTGGCACAGTTGGTAGCACTGTTGCCTCGCAGCAAGAAGGTTGGCGGTTCGCGTCCCAGTGGGGGTACCGGGATCCTGCTGCATGGAGTTTGCAAGTTGTCCCCATGTAGCGTGGGTTCTCTCCGGGTTCTGCGGCTTCCTCCCACAAGTCCAAAAACATGTTGAGGTTAATTGGTGATTCTAAATTGTTTGTAGGTGTGAATGTGAGTGTGCTTGGTTGTCTGTCTCTCAGTGTAGCTCTGTGAGAGACTGGCGACCTGTCCAGGGTGTCCCCTGCCTTCGCCCTGCTGGGATAGACTCCAGCCCTCCTAGTGACTATTAAGTGGTGTATACAGTCTTGGCCAAAAGTTATGAGAATGACACAAATATTACATTTTCACAGGGTCTGCTGCTTCAAGGTTTTTAGGTGTTCTTGTCAGATGTTTCTATGGTAGACTGAAATATAATTACAAGCATTTCAGAAGTATTAATGGCTTTTACTGGCAATTACACTGTGTTCATGCAACAAGTCAATATTTGCATTGTTGACCCTTCTTTTTCAAGACCTCTGCAATTCTCCCTGGCATGCTGTCAATCAATTTCTGGAT